CTTACTGCTGATGCTAGACTGTTATGTACTTTTATGTGTCAGGACTGCTTGGATTCCAGGTTTGCATTCAATAGGCCACTTCCTGTGTCTTCTCTTGTATCTCTAATTGGAAGCAAGACCCAGATACCAACACAACAATATGGCTGGAGACCATATTGGGCTACTTATTGCTGGGTATGATGTTATGGGCCCTTACATTTTCCAAACCTGGCCATCTGCTGACGATTTTGACTATAGAGCTATGTCCATTGGAGCCCGTTCTCAATCAACTAGTACTTACTTGGAGACACATTATGTCCAAATTTATAGAACACAATTTAAATGAACTGGTTAAACATGGTCTGTGTGCCTTAAGAGAGACGATTCCCGCAGAACAGGACATAACTACAAAAATGTTTCCATTGGAATTGCCCGTAAAAATTGAGGTTACAATCTATGATGATGATGGTGATGATAATGTGTCTATTCCTGAAAGGTCTTGAGGAAAGGCCACAGAGAAAGGCACAAACTGCTCAACCTGCTGATGAACCAGCAGAAAAGGATGATGAACCAATGGAGCATTAAATGATAAGCCAGACTATGTATGTATTATCAAATAAGTAATAACACTGGAAGACACGCTGATGATACCAATTATCAGTAGAATGGTGGTGGAATGGTATGTTTTAGGAATCAGTCCAGATATGAGTTTTTTCTAAGCAACCTCACTAAAATCATATAATGGGGTATGTTTTTCTCTGAGATGTCTATATAATTATTTTCTAGAAAGTATATGTATCTGCACTAATATATGAAGAACGTAAGTGTCTTTGTGGTTTTAAAGACAACTAAAATAAAATTGTTTCACCTCCTGGAAAAAAAAGTCTGGGTTGCAAGAATTTGCCCATTCGTAATTTACATAAGCAAGACATTTCAGTCATATTTATGTATATATAATGCGTATTCATTTAGTTCTGTTCAAAAATCTAGAAAAAGTTTGTTAAAGTGCTAAGATATATAAGTGAATTTAATCATCTATACTTTTGTTCATTCTAGATTAACATTGAGGGCTAAACTCTGATCTTTTACTTCTCTTGCTCAAATTTCTATCTAAGAGGTCTTTTGCAGGGGTGGGGAATGAGGGGATGTTCCATGCCTTACAAACCAAGTCTCATCAGAGGGATTTTACTTAACACTTTATAACGTGTTTTAACTTTCCAATCTAACTCTGGCATAATATCGTACAACAGATAAAGAAGAAAATCAAAATATTTTAACCGCAAATACGTTTCATTGCCATATCTTGAAATAGCCCTGTAAAGCTGTCTTTGCTGGGAAAATCAACATTCTGTAGATCCCTTTCTCTTTCCAGGCCTTTTTCCTGATCCAGGAGAGAATCAACCATGAGTCTGGCACTTTTAGTTAAGTCTGATAAGAAACATTTGCAATCTACTTTCAGTGAAAAAAGCTACCTACAGGCTGCTTCTGCATAATGAGAATCTTGGTCTCTAAAACTCCTTAACCCAGACATTTCCTTCTATTGATTCTAGGTCTTCAGACAATACTTAACTCTTTCAACTAGATGCTAGTTAGAAATTTTTTGAATCCGCTTATGACTTGGAACCTCCTCCGTCACACCCCCTCTGCCTTTCTGGACTGAACCAATGTACTGTCTTACATGTACTGACTGATGTCTTATCTCCCTAAATTGTATAAATCCAAGCTATAGCCTGACCATCTTAGGCTTATGTTCTCAGGACAACTTCTTGAGACTGTGTGTCTGGTCACTGGTCGCTCATATACGGCTCAGAATAAATCTCTTCAAATATTTTAGAGTTTGACTCTTTTATCAACAGCATTCTTAAGATTCTTAAGAGTTGAAAAGGATCTTTAAAATAAATTTAGTCCACTCTCCACCCCATCACCTCTGAAATACAAAACTAGGCCCAGGAGAGAGTTGAACAAAATAAAAATGAAATAATAAATTTTAGATTACTTCTAACAAGAGAAGGGAAAGGACTCAAAACAATCTTCATACAAAAAGTAACAATTTAATTTTTGGAACTTAAATCTAAACTCTGCTCTTTTTTTCTTCTCCTGCTCAAATTCCCATCTAAAGAGTCTGGATGCCTTAGAAACCATAGTCTCATCAGAGCAGTTTTATTTAACTCTATATAATTGTGGCTGTACTTTTCCAACCTGACTTTGGCATAACATCACATGACAAAAGAAAAAGAAAATCAAAATATTTTAACCCCAAATGTTCCTTGCCATATCTTGAAATAGCCCTGCAAAGTTGTCTCTTGTGGGAGAAAACCTACAATCTGCAGAGAATCCCCTTCAAGAGAAAATCAACTAAGAGTCTTGCACCATTTTAAGTCTAATAACAAACATTTACAACCTGTTTTCTCTGAAGTTTGCTACCTGGAGGCTTCATCTGCATAATAAGAACCTTGGTCTTCACAAACCCTTATCTCAATCCAGACATTCCTTTGTATTCAACCCAGGTCTTTAGATAAAAACACTTTCAGCCAAATTAAATTAGAAAATCTTTGATTGGAAATTGACCTGGAAGCCCCCCACCTCACTTCCAGTTGTCCTACTTTTCTGCACCAAAACAATGTACATTTTATATGTATCGATTGATGTCTTATGTCTCCCTAAATGTATAAAAGTTGTAGCCCAACTATCTTGGGCACAAATTCTCAGATCTCGTAAGGGCTGTGTCCCGGACCACTGATCACTCATTTTTGGCTCAGAATAAATCTTTTCAAATATTTTAGAGTTTGACTCTTCGTCGAAGGCACCGCCACACACACAAATTCATCCCATGTTTAATTCCTTATATCCCATTAAGGATTAGTTCTACTATTTGTGGACAATAATAGAAGAAAAGAAATTGAGTTGCTATGGATACTTACTTGTAGTTATAACAAGAATTGGCAGTATGCTCATTTAGTTAACAGGTCAAAATAGAGATTTAATTTTTAATGGCTAATATTTGAAGTGAAAATTATTTTATTCTAAGCTTTGCAAACATAAAACATTGCTATGGATATTCCATTTAGCTAAGCTTTAACCCTAGAATTAATGTAATTAGGAGCCAACAAGTTTAAAAGTATATGTAGGCTGGGCGCGGTGGCTCAAGCCTGTAATCCCAGCACTTTGGGAGGCCCAGGCGGGTGGATCACGAGGTCAAGAGATCGAGACCATCCTGGTCAACATGGTGAAACCTCGTCTCTACTAAAAAATACAAAACATTAGCTGGGCATGGTGGCGCGTGCCTGTAATCCCAGCTACTCAGGAGGCTGAGGCAGGAGAATTGCCTGAACCCAGGAGGCGGAGGTTGCGGTGAGCCGAGATCGCGCCATTGCACTCCAGCCTGGGTAACAAGAGTGAAGCTCCGTATCAAAATAAATAAATAAATAAATAAATAAAATAAAAGTATATGTAAATGTTTCACATTTTCAACATCAGTAAAAATATCTATAGACCTAAGTACCCTGTCCATTAGTCTCAGCCAAGTCTGATGTTTGTTAACATAAGCTTAATAGGAAAAAAATAAAAAGTCATTGTTCTCAGTCATACAAAATCTCTAAAAAAAAAAAAAAAGCTAATCAGAGAACAGCAAATAAACTAACAAAACAATAAAGTTAATTTCTTAACAATAAAAGTTAAGAAAGCAAACATCAAAATGATCTAATATTTGCAGATATCCATTTGATATTTATCTAAATTTCTGTTTATCAATTCTGGAAAAATAAATTAAAATTCAGGGTCCATTATCCAGATTTGTTTAACAACATGAAAATCTTCCTAGAGTCTTCAAATTACCACACTCTACGGAAATTATGGTTAAATTTGGGAACAAAACTATACATTTGATGTACCTAAGATACTGGCAATCCTGCCTTCTCCTCAGCAGTTTCTTTATCTAGTACGTCGCAACGTACAGATCATATTTTGCTCCTAAATGATTAAGTAAGCCAGGAATGGGCCTAGGGTAGGGATCAGCAAACTTTTTCTGCAAAGGACCAGAGTGTAAACATTTTTTGGCTTTGCAAGTCATACAATCTCTGTTACAACTATTCAGTTCTGTCTTACAGCCTGAAAGCAACCATGTACGAGACATAAATAAGTAAATGTGGCTGTGTTCCAATAAAAAAATAACAGAAATAGCAGAACCGGTTTGGCCCATGGGCTATAGTTTGCCAATCTCTGGCCTAGGGTATCTGATCATTTGTTTTACATTCTAATTAGTGATCTGGTAATATACTTAAGGTTCTATCTGACCATATAAAAATGGTATTTTAATACAAATATACCTAAAATAACCACATGTCCCAGATTTTGGGGGACACGCTTGACTTGTAACTTTATTCTTATTAGTAATAATCATACATCTCAATTTGTGGCTCAAAAAGTAGGTTCCCTATATGCAGACACCTATTAAAATAGTCTCCTGATACATAACTGCTGCCTCTAAAAAACCTATTATCTGCAAATATTTGCAAATATTGTATCCCAAAGTACTGTAAAACTATACTTACCCTTTGAGTAGTATAAGATGGCTTTTTCTTCTTTTCAACTGTATAAAGACAGATTTCTATGTCACCTTTTGTAGTTCGACATTCCTCTTGTACCCTAATTACAAGTTAAAGGTCAAAGTAACAGAAAATCATCAAAAATAAAACCAATCATCTAAGAATCAGATAAAAATACTTCTAAACATATAACTTGCCAATTGAATTTTTAGGTGTATAATTCAGTGGCATTAATGACATTCAGAAAATTGTGTAACCATTACTGACATTTCCAAACTTTTTCATCACTTTCAATGGTCACTTCTGTGACCATTATGCAGTAATTTCCGATTTTCTACTTCTTCCAAGGCCCTGATAACCCCTAATCTATTGTATGTCTCTATGAATTTGCCTAGTCCCAATATTTCATTTAAGTGGAATCATATACTATTTGTCCTTTTGTCTCTGGCTTCTTTCACTTAGCATAATGTTTATCCATGTTGTAGCAGGTATCGGAACATCATTCTTCTCTGTAGCTGAATGATATGCCATTTTGTACATATACTAGAATTTGTTTATCTATTCATCTGTTGGTGGACAATTAAGTTGTTTTTACCATTTGGTTATTGTGAATAATGCCACATTGAACACTGGGATACAAATATCTTCAAGTCTCTGCTTTCAATTCTGCTTCTAATATTTTGAGTAAATAATTATTTACTCCAAAGACAAATTAATTATGGCTTTTTTTTTGTCTTATTACTGCTGCCTTCTTATAGCAGAAAGCAGAAGAAAAGGAGAAACAAAATTAATTTCGCTACTTGTTGGTTGATCTGGTAAAAGGCTTGGTTAGGAAGATACTTGATTAAAATGAATTGTACATATTCTCTATAAATGTCTTTTCTAAATTTCTTTCCAGTTGCTGTGGAGTATCTGAAAGTTGTTACTACAGTAAATGTTAGGGTTTACAAATATGAATAGGGATTCTAAGTTTGAAATTAATCCTAATGAAATCCTTTTATCCAATGAAGTCTACCTAAATGACATTTCTAAAGATGCTCTGAACACTAGCATCTAGCAAATAATTGTACTCCCAGACTGCTCCAATGTTAGGGTCCATATATCACTCACATATTTAATTGCATAAGACCTCATGAGTTATTCCTTAATACTATTTGTATTCTTTTCTTCTAATCTAGGCTATAAACTCAGAATGGAGATAATGTTTTGCATTTTCAATATTCCCCAAAGCATTCAGCACAAAGCTGAGCAAATTGAAGATAATCATTATTTGTTATGGAATGAACTCATTGGAATAATACGGAAAAACTAATGCATGACTAAACTATATTTTAAAATACCTCATTTACTAGGCTAACATAGTACATTTCAATTTACTTCCTAAGACTAAAGCTTTAAATTTTCTTCTAAATGTTACCTTATTGACTCACCTACTAACCCCATTATTCAGTTCATTGACCACCACTCTTCTGCTCCATGCCATGAGATCTCTTTCAGTGGCCATCTGGCTCCGAGGAGCATTGTTATGCATTTGTCTAACACCTTCAATTTGACTACTATGTCTGCGAAGCGCGATGTTTGGGGAAGACGATATGTCCATGTTTGGACTTCTCAGAGCTAAAACAAGGAAAAGTATCATTGTCTGAGCAAAGGTACCATAGTTTTCCAGATCAGAGCTCTAAATAAAACAGTAGATTCAAAGATAGTAAGAATTGCTATTCCTTTGTTCTACATTTTCTGTACCTCCTTTGTGTTTCTGATATTGTTATAAATAAAGCAGGCACTCAATAAGTGTTTAAAACTTCTATAGTT